GATCTTGCCACAACAGACGCCATGACACCGTAGAGTACAAATTATATTTTAATTAAAAAAGTATGTTCGAGTTCTTAACACCAAGTAAACCAGAGCAATCCCCTTACACCTTATATTTTAATTACAAATTTAATTTCTAAACGTGAAGTGTGTATTTGTGATTAATATTTAAAATTTATTATAATTATAATAAAATTTTGTTATATATTGATGAAAATCATTTATGTGTAACGAAAATTATTAGTTTAACAATATAAATAACAAAAATTATCAGTTTTAACAATACAAATAATAAAAATTATCAGTTTTAACTGTATAAAAACAGAAACCATTAATGTGTAGCGAGATGTGTAACTTTATAGAGTATATATATCATTTCTTAATTGGACACAATAAATTATAATGATAATTTTAAAATTTGCCACAAAATTTTGTTTAAGAAAAAAGTCTTTTTTTTTTTCTTTTTTTTTAATGAAACATCGCCTGCAAGACTAAATATTTATCGACTTGATCACTCTGGTCTTAGGCCCGTGTTGCTCTTGGAGGTGTTTGGAAACAATCCTTGACTGATCTGAGTGGAGGTCAAAGATCTCTACTCGCTCTTTCTGTAATCCTGACTTTGCTGTTGTTTAAGCCAGCTCCACTTTACATAGTAGATAAGGAATAAATGGTGCCATTTTCTGCCCACCCAACCAGATTACCGTACATCTTGTTCTGTTATTTGTAAAAGCTCATACTACTGATGCCCAAGAGTAGATTATTTAATTTTTTATGTGCTTGAGACAGGTGGATGCAGCCGTTGATCTAATAGTTAACCATGTTGACTTACAACCTTAGAGATAACATAATGGTTACTGGGGCTTGGATAAACACTGCTTTTCAACCCATTGTGATTTACTTAAGTGGTAAAGATTGATTTAAATTATGTTTAAAAAATTTCGTATTCATAAACAAAAATTTTGTAAAATATGTATCCTTAATAAGAAAAAAAAAATGAAAGTTAGACACTTTTATTAAAAATAAAAAAAAATTCATATAATTAAATAAAAAAATAACAAAGTTTATATTTTTATTTACATATTTTCTGCTTATCATGTCTCATGTGTATAAAAAGGTGGAATAAAAAAATATTGGGGAGAAAATGTCCCAGCTGCCCTTCTTCCTAACCCTTGTGCTACTCGGTTGCCCTCTTTTTGAACATGCACATGCTGCACCTTGCTAAACTCAAACCTGGGCAACAGCTCTCTACAATCATTCAAAACTCCTCCCAACTCTGCGTTTCCGAACTGGCCTGCATTGTTGATCCCATACTACAAATATACAATCGCTCTCCTCAATAAATCTCCTAAAATTGGTAAGGGGTTCTAATGCCTTCTTTCTTGTGTTGATACCGAAGAGAGAAAATCCTCAAGGTATTGAGGAGTATAAACCCTTCTCATTAATTGGCTGCACTTGTAAAATTCTTGCTAAATTGCTAGCAAATAGACCCAGCAAAGCATTGAACGAAATTATAAGGGAAAATCAATCTGCATTTGTCAAGGAGAGACAATTGGTAGACGGAGTGGTTGTTGCGAATGAGGCGATTGATGGGGTGAGGAAGAGAAAATCCCAGGGCTTTATTTTCAAAATTGATTTTGTAAAGGCATATGATAATGTGAGCTAGCCCTTTCTTGATTACATGATGGAAAGAATGGGCTTTGACACAGTATGAAGGGGGTGGATTTCTGAATGCTTAAAATCTAATACGATGTCTGTTTTAGTTAACGAAGTACTACTAAAAAGTTCACGATGTCAAGCGGGCTCTAGTAAGGTGATCCATTATCTCTGTTGCTGTTCTTAATGGTGGTAGAAGCTTTAAATGGATTAACTTCAACAGTTGTCTCAAAGGGCTTTTTTCGTGGAGTAAAAATAGGACATGGGGAGCTTGAAATTAGCCACTTACAATTTGCAAATGACATGCTATTTATGGGTGAGGCAACTGAAAACAACATTTAGACAGTTAAATGTATTATGAGGGCTTTTGAATTTGTGTTAGGCATGAAGGTAAATTATAGAAGGAGCTCTTTAATCGAAATCAACATTGATGAAGAATGTATAAAAAAAATGGCATGGTTGCTGAATTGTAAAACTAATTCCCTTCCATGCAAATACCTGGGGGTGACATTGGGTGCAAATCCAAGGAGACTAGACACATGGAAACCCCTAATTGAGATGTTCAGCAGAAAACTCTTAGCTTAGAAAGGAAGATTCTTGTCTCTTGGTAGAAGAATCACCCTCATAAACTCTATGTTATCCAGTCAACCAATGTTCCTAATGTCGTTCTATCTTCTCCTAAACAGGTAATCTATGAACTTGATAGAGTTAAGAGGAATTTCTTGTGGGGAGGCATTGAGGAAGGTAGAAAGATTGCATGGGTGTCTTGGGATAGTATATGCTATAGTATAAAAGAGGGAGGCTTGGGGGTAAAAAATTTGAGATGGTTTAACATGACGTTGCTTGGCAAATGGTGGGCGAGATTAATAGGGGGTGAGAAGGGTTTGAGGTCTAGGGTACTTTTAGAAAAATATGGTGGCAAGGAAGGAAATTGGTTATCATGGGTGAGAGAAGGCGAAGGCTTAGGATCATCTTGGCGGAATGATGTGTGTAAATTGAATGCAAGCTTAGGTAGTAAGTATGGGTGGTTGTTTTCAAATTTCAATTTGAATTTGGGTGATGGGAAGAGTGTTAGATTATGGATTGATGCATGGGTGGGTAAGGACTCATTGGCTTATGTTTTCCCTAGACTTTTCTTGTTGGCTACAGATAAAAGCTACAACATCCATGATATGGGACATTGGACATATGGTTGCTGGGTTTGGAGATTCCAATGGAAAAGAACACTTCGAGCTTGGGAAAAGGACAAATTGAAACAATTGATCGAAGCTATACAACACATAAAGCCAATGTAAGAAATGAAGGACACTTAGAGTTAGTGGCTACATGTTGGGGGAAAATATACCACAAGGTTTGCGCACGAGCAACTCGCAAAGAAAGAGGAAAATAGGCTACTGGAGTATAGAAAACTGTGGGGTGCGCAAGTTCCATCAAAACTGAGTGCTTTTTCATGGCAATTGCTACTAGATAGAATTCCAACAAAGGTTAACTTAGCAATATGTGGGATTTTAGATGCCAATCAAAATATAAAGTGTCTTTGGTGTGATCAATTCCTTGAACATATAGATCAACTTTTTATGTCTTGCAACATCTCTTTCAAATTATGGACAAAATGTCTCAACTGGTGAAGATTACATTATATTCTCGGGAATACTTGCATAGATGTTTTCAACCAACATAGACGGAACAAGGGCTCAAAAGTTCTAAAAAAGGGTTGGAACATGTTATGGTTCACCATAGTATGGTTATTGTGGTTGAGTAGAAATAAAACTGCTTTTCAACACAAAAAGATTAATGAGGATAAGCTGTTTGAACTTGTACAAAGCCATTCATTTCATTGAGTTAGAACTCTGTTGAACCTACAAAATTTTTCTTTCATGGAATGGATTTCTAATCTAGTGAGATGTCTGACTAATAGGAAATAGAGGCTTGAAGGGGAGTTGGATTCCAAGATTCTTGTTTTGGAGTGTTTTCTGCCTTTTGTTTCTGGACCCCATTTCTACCATTAGCTTTACACATTGATGTTCATGGGTTTGAGTACTCCTTGTACTCACATAATAAAATTTCTTGCTTTTCAAAAAAAAGAAACTCCTAAAACACCCTTCATCTGCATTGTCCCCTCCTTTGGTTTTATTGTTAAAGCAATTAATTGTAATTGTTAACTTATAACTCAGTAGATATTTGTTACTTAAAAGATTAAAATTAATTAATAAATTGAGGTTAAAGGCGGGGCATGGTTAGTGAGATGGGAGAATTGGAGGGGGATATGTGGCGATGGAATATGGAATGAAGAAAGGAGAGGTTGGGATGAGAGAAAGGTGAGGAAGAGGTGTTGTGAGCAAAGAAGTAAATATCGTACCATACCGGTCGATATGGTCGGTACGGTTAGTACGTATCGATTTTTGAAGTGAACCAAAATGGTATAATATTAATTTTTGTTTTGGTTAAAATTCGATCATTTCGATCAAAATCTGGTGTACTAGCTGAAATTTTGTGTATCGGCCAATACACAAAATTTTGGCCGATACACATTATGCTACGAATTTTTTTTTTAAAAAAAAAGATTTCTTAGCCCAAAACCACGTCGTTTTGGTTAGGGGCTTTTAAATTTTAATCCCTGCAAATCTGCAATTTTAGATCGCATCACATAGCCTTCCCCAGTTGCCCTCCGATCCTACCCTCTTCATTGGTGGTGTAGGGCGTGCAGCTGCTGCTCCTCCTTCTTCCTGTTTTGCGAATCGGCACCCTAGATCTTGGACTTGGAGATCAATTCGTGGGCTAGGGGCTTGTAATTTCATATTGATTTTCTGCAATTTCATATTGCAGTTTCCACTTTTTAGTTTCACCGGTGATTGGGTGGTCTAGTCCGGTTGCTGCTCTTTCTTCTTAATTCATGGGCTAGGGGCTAGATCTTGCATCTTGATTCTCTTCACCCCTCTCCAGCAACCCAGGTTCATCTCCAGTAACCGAGCTCCGTCTCCAGCAACTAGCTTCGTCTCAGGTATCTTTGCATGAAAATTCCTTTTCTCGGTTTCAATCTTTCATTGTTAATTTTATTACTAAGTGAAATAGTGAATATCTTTCCTTTTGAATTTTGATGCAATTGATTTGCATACATATGGATAAAAAAAATATTGCTTTATCGAGTTGCTCCCCTAATAAATCTGTGAAATTGTGATTCCAGCCACCCAAATTAGAAATAGCAGGACAATTGTTAGTTTGTTAAATCATTAGGCTCACATGGGGTGGTTGATTGCTGCAATTTATGAAACAGTTGTTATTTTCTGATTGTAGGATATCATGAATACTAGTGGTTCTGGCAATGGCACAGGAGACTTTATTGGATCCAGCTTTTCTTGACAAAGATGATTATGATATGGATTGGGTAGCTATTGATGAGTCTTTGCCAAATCAAAGTCTTGATGATACTGATAATATTGTTTATGATGAGGAAGATATCCCACAGATTCCTGAAAATGAAAATGAAAATGAACAACTGAAAATGAACAACTTTGGATTGGGGTTGATGGAGTTACAGGTTATGGAATTCCTCCAAATGAGGATCCTTATAATTATGTTCAAGATATTTAGTAATGTTTTGAAATTAATTGTGCTGTTTATTTGTAATTTTCCCTTGAAAGAAACAAGTGAAAAACCCTTCTGATGAACCCTTGTGATGAATGTTTTTAGTTTTTCTAAATTGAATATCATTTTCTATTATCTGTTTAATAATTATTATCATCTTAATGTTTTTAACTTAAAGTATCCAAAGGATTTTTGCTTGAGTTATAATGGAGTCTTAAGTTAATGGTTGAAGAAAGAAAGGATTATACCAACTCAAAAGGTTTTCTCAAATTTTGTTCTTAATTATATTAGTTTCTTTTATAATTATTTTAAA